TTTCACATGAAAACATTGTCACAAATCAAGATGTTTTACACTCACTTTTGGGAAATATCTTTAAGCACTTAAGAATCAACATAATTGCTGGTGAATTTTGACTATATATTTTTGACCTATTTTGGGAAGGCGAAAATGGTCTTAGGTAACTGCAATGAGTCATTTTTGCTTTTTTATAGAATCGTCGGCTTCGTCAACAGAATCAAGAAATGGGGTCACATCACAGGATGAATGCGTTTCAACCACATCATTTTGAAGATACAACTACAGACAATGTGCCTTATTCGTCTTGTGCATATGGGCAAGCCCACCATGGTTACATGTCAAATCCATGGGGAGGCCAACATTCAATGCTTCCTAGTGAAGTAGTTGTGGATGGTCCAGATGAGAAAGTAGAAGCCTCTCTTGGTTCTCATATCGCTAGAGAATGTCCTCGTTGTGAAAGAGAGTTTGCAGCCCATCAAAGAGAGGACTTTGAGAAACATGTTGAAAAATGCTTGTTCACTAACTAAGCTAACCATGACTGTTAAAATAAATAACATGTTTTTCAGACTTACATAGTTTTGCATGCTGACCATGTGATATAAACTATTTATTTTCCACAGTTAGAAATTTTCTCAATTTGATAACTTTTGCCATTTGTGAATTTTGCTCTGACAATTTTCACTTCTTTGATTTTCACTTCTTGAAATTAAAGTGGCATACATTCTTTTATGGGTAAAAGTAATAGTGGAAGCTTGAGGTGTGAATTCAAGTTACTAGTTGCATTTACTTCACAAATTGGCCCAATTCTCCAAGAATAATTACATCTTGTTAATATACACAGGTTATGTATTGTGACAGTTTCTTTTGAAAAAAAATGGTCTTATATAGAAGTACACAATGACTTGAGCAGTAATAAATTAAATATAATAAAACACTAATTTTTGTTACCTACCCACTTACCCTATTTTTTTTAATACTAATGTATTACACACTGTAATTTGACTTGGCCTAAGCATATGACTACACCTTGTAAATATAAATTTCTCCCACACTCTAAAATAAAATAGTTCATTCCTCCAATGGCTGATTCACTTTCACATTAATCCTTATGTTGTCAAGTCAGTTTAAAAGTACACATGGATATTAAACTAAATAAGTAAACTATATTATTTAAGGTATGGTGCAGTTTTCTATTTTATTATAGTTATATTCGAAAACAAATTATTTTAGTGGAATATTTCTTAAAGATGTTGTCTCGAGACATGGGTGATCAAGTTTGTTTTGCATTAGTATCATCATTGCTGTGGTTGAAAAGTTGATGTAAAATGGAACGACAAATATGCATCAAACTTGTGACACCAATGCAATGAATACTGTACCAATATTTAATTTTAATGTTTTGAGCTATTTCATTGGGTTTTAAGTTCATCGGCTTGGCAGGGAAACAATGGGTTCTATTGTTATTCTACAAGTTCACATGGATTTAATTTAACGATTTTCACTTATCAAAAAAAATATAAAAATTAAAAACCTAGCGGAAAATTAATGCGTTTACAGGACGCAATTCTTGTATGATAAATGTGCGATGTGAATAAATAACGACAGGTTGCGTCTATGGTATAATTTGACTCAATGCATGAATTAACAGAATCTTAATTTAGCTAAAGTGCCAACAATCTCATTGTGAGAATATACTTTATTTTATGTTAGCAACATCTTGAATAAGTGAAATTGTAGATCAGTTAAATTAGCTTAAATTACATGCTTAAAGAAAAGTTTTACAGTACATATCAAAGAATAAAATTAATGTCTGGTAAGTCACCAAGGCATGATGATCCATATATTGGTGCTCTTTTGTGCAATTTGTTTTTAAATTAGTTTTAATATTCCATGGAGTTCACACATAGGGAAACCCAGCAATTAGCACAGACTAAGTGATTATCAAACAAACAAAAAATATAAAAATATATACAGTTCTTTTAACTTTGATTTCTCGGTAACCCAGGAGGTATACATTTTAGTATGATGAATATAAAACAAGAACAATGGAAATTCAGAATAATAGAAAGTAGTACAATCTTATGAATATCATAGTAAATCCTCAAATGCATAACGAATATTGATATTTTGTTGTGATGTCTGATCTAGACAGAACTTCATATTTAGCTCAACTTGCAGTTTTTTAGCCAATACCAAAGGGAGTTGTAATAACTTAAGTGAAATTTTGATAACAATTTTGTTTTTTCCTTTCTATCCCAAGCACTGTAATTTAATGCCACAATAATATGCTTTTATGTATTTTAAACTCCTGAATGGATCAGAGCTCTCAGTTTTAGCTATAAAGTAAGTAAAGTAAGTTGAGCAGATGCCAAACATGGAACTGATTTCATCTTATGGTTTGGTAAAGTAGCTATATGACAAGATAGTCTTTACGAGTTTCAATCTTTATGTTGTTCAATCAATAACATAAACACCAATTAAACTGTTAATAATTAGTTACATAGGAGTAATTGCCTTCTTGATCAAAGTAAGAAGGGTAGAAAAGAAAAGACAAATATTTTTTTTATATATTTTTTTATATTATTAAAATTTCAACTAAGTTATTCCAATTTTCTGTGCTCATACTAAGTGTTTGCGATATAAATGTTTTTCACCTTTTAGCTCATGCTAAGAAGATGTGTACAAACATAACTAAATTTATTAACTTGAAAGTCAGCTGAAAAACATTCATGATATTGGTTTAAGTTTATACAATTATTAAATAATCATTGGAGATTATGCAGAAGCAATGATACCACTTCTACCTTTGTTGATTTAAGTAGAATTCTTGTGATTCTTGTGCACACTGTATCAGCTGAGGAAAGTAGACATGTTAGACTGCTGATTTTATTAGAGGTAGTTTTGTGTCTTGCTGCATATAAGGTCATTAAAGGCTAAAAAAGCTATAAACCTGAAATACAGATATTTTCATCATGTGTATAGTTTTTCCAGCATTTAACCAGAATTGATTGTTTTTAGGGTTTATATTTTCACTTGAAATGTGTTGACCATGTCAGTGCTATTAGGAAAGAAAGGTGAAATTTGATGGTTATTATCTGTAAGCATTACATTGTGTATATTCAGTGAGTTGTATACGTCATACAAGTAAATGTATAAATATCATTTGATATCAAACCAAATATTATTACAGGTGCAACTGAAACTTTATTAACTAGAGCTTATACATTCAAAATATCTTATAATACTACCAAAATATTGTTCTTCACCGAATATATCTAATTTAAAATATACGGTAGCATGATATAAACAAACTCAAATTGTTTTTAACCTCCAAAAGCACCAATGTATTATAATGATATTTTAGACCCACAAAACTATTAAGAGATATTTTTGTTTCTGTTGTCTTTGATCTCACCGTTAGTAAAGTACTGACTACAGCATTTTGCTTAAATGAAATGCAAATTGGGAGCATCTGCCACTTGTTACATTTCTTCATATTTTTATTACATCGCCTTTTGATAGAGGGAATCCTTTATATTTAGGGCACATATACAACTTGAGAGATCATATTCAGAAAGATTGAAATTTGAACTGAGCATAGGCACTAGAGTGTACTCTTTGAATTGATTCACTAGCTAATAGTTTAGTGGAAATATGTTTGATGGTTTTAATGTGAAATTAGCCTGTACTTGTAGTGAATGGTATAATAAGTAGTTGATATGTTTTTACATTGCATTTATTTAGAATTGATAGTTCTACACACATTGTTGAGTAGTGTACATTAATACAGTTTTAATGAGATTGAAGTATTAGTGTGATTAATTTTTTGGCTACCATGAAGCATATATGATAGGGACAATGCTACATGACATCCCTTAGTCTGCTGTTGCCAGAACACAGGAAATAAAAAAAAGAAATTACAAATTTAAATTTACAAGCATGCATGTTTATTTGTTTGTATGGCATAGAGGGATAACAGATGTGAGTAATGCTATTATTGGTAGAAGGTGCGTGTGGTGATTGATTGATTGTAAATGTATCTAGAATACCTATGTATAAGGTCTTGCATTTGGTCCAATCAAGGTTTACACACTTTGTGATTCTGTGGACTAGTCAAGACTTACACACTTTGTGATCCTGTGGACCAGTCAGTGTTTACACACTTTGTGGTTCTATGGACCAATCAAGATTTGCACACTTTGTCATTCTGTGGACCAGTTAAGGTTTACACACTTTGTGATCCTGTGGACCAGTCAAGGTTTGCACACTCTGGCATCCTGTGGACCAGTCAAGGTTTGCACACTCTGTGATCCTGTGTACCAGTCAAAGTTTGCACACTTCGTGATCCTGTGGATCAGTCAGGGTTTGCACACTTTGTGATTCTGCGAACCAGTTAAGGTTTGCACACTTTGTGATCCTGTGTACCAGTTAAGGTTTGCACACTTTGTGATCCTGTGGACCAGTTAAGGTTTGCACACTTTGTGATCCTGTGTACCAGTCAAAGTTTGCACACTTCGTGATCCTGTGGATCAGTCAGGGTTTGCACTCTTTGTGATTCTGCAAACCAGTTAAGGTTTGCACACTTTGTGATCCTGTGGACCAGTCAAGGTTTGCACACTTTGTGATCCTGTGTACCAGTCAAAGTTTGCACACTTCGTGATCCTGTGGATCAGTCAGGGTTTGCACACTTTGTGATTCTGCGAACCAGTTAAGGTTTGCACACTTTGTGATTCTATGGACCAGTCAAGTTTTGCACACTTTGTGATTCTGCGAACCAGTTAAGGTTTACACACTTTGTGATCCTGTGGAACAGTCGAGGTTTGCACACTTTGTGATCCTGTGGAACAGTCAAAGTTTACCCACTTTGCGATCCTGTGGACCAGTCAGGGTTTGCACACTTTGTGATCCTGTGGACCAGTTAAGGTTTGCACACTTTGTGATTCTATGGACCAGTCAAGGTTTGCACACTTTGTGATCCTGTGGAACAGTCAAAGTTTACACACTTTGTGATCCTGTGGACCAGTCGGTGTTTGCACACTTTGTGATCCTGTGGACCAGTCAAGGTTTTCACACTGTTTGATTCTGTCTACTAAGGTTTGCACACTCTGTAATCCGTGTACCAGTCAAAGTTTGCACACCTTGTGATCCTGTGGATCAGTCAAGGCTTACATTTTTTGATCCTGTGGACCAGTCAGTGTTTGCATTTTTCGGCTGTTTACAGACGGATTTTGTTCAAACTTTTTATATATATTGGACATTATGGGTTCATGATGCACGTC